CAACAAGCAGTGAATTCTTTGCTTTGGTTTTTCTTTTTCTCTTAGTGCTGGGATTAAATGTCACTCTACTCTGGTCATTTGACTCTGTCTTCCTGAGGAGCAAATGGGCTAATAAGGGATGAAGACCTGCTGTGTGATGGAGAAAGCCCAATGCCATGTGTCCTATCCAGCACAGGCATCAACTTTAGACTAAACTCAGTCACCCTCCAACAAGGTCAGAATAAAGAGACTGGTTCTTAGGGCAGTTTTAGAATATGGCCTGGAAAACACAGAGCCAATGTGCCATTGCTAGCTATCCCTAGAACTTTCTAGTCTTTGGGACATTAATTACAGAACTAGATCAGGGCCAGGTGTGACGATTTTGGCAGATTGGATCATAAGAAGCATGTCCTTTAAGGGCAGTTCAGACCATTGTTTTAGATATGGGCATATGATTGCCTGGAGAGGCTACTCAAGAAGGCGCCAGTATGCTCATGTGGGTTCATTCTTGGTGGTTTCCCTAAACATATTAGAAATGATATGGAAGTAATATTGACCATGGCATAGTGTTCATGTTTTGGAAGAGAGAATGAGAATAGATAATATTCATGGTGTATGAAATGTTCACTGGTGAGTGGGAGGAAATGGGGCCTCATTAATTCAGTAACTGTTGGAGATGTACAACATACAAAGCTCTATTCTAAGCGTTAGCTTAATTGAAAAAGCCAAGGTTGCAATTAAATTAAATGTCTAATTAAAACGGAAGCATTTAGAGCTGGAGGGGTTGCTCAGTGGTTAAGTGTGCTTGCTGCTCTTCCAGAGGACAGGCTTTCCTTTCCATCCCCAGCAACAATGTGACAACTCACAACTGTCTGTAACGCCAGTTCCATGGGATCAAATGCTTACCGCCACGATGGGACAACCGGAACAAAATTCCTCTTTTCTTTAAAAGCTAAAAATCCTCTCAGACAGCGAGATTTGACAATGTCAAGCAGGTAGCACAAGGCAGAGATCCCCTGACAAAAACGCCGAGGAGTGGCGAGGTTTCCAGGGCACAGCACAGGGGAGAGGAAGTCGGGACAGCTTGGCAGTCTCCCTGAATTGAGCAGAGTTCAGAGTATAAAGACAGCAAAGTGGTGGAAGTCAGGGCACAGAACACCAGCGAGGCAAACTGCAACCAGAGACCAACACACAGTACCCTTTGGTCTTCAGCTAAATTGCAGTTAGCATGCGGTTGTGTGCAAACTATCAAGGCTAGAAACAAAGCCATGAAAGGCGCCATTGGAGCATCCCAGGGTTCCCCTGGGCCAGAGAAGAAAAAAACTTCCATCACACATGAACAGGGCCCTCAAGAGAGGGAACTAGTCATGCCAAATAGTTGCTAACCTAAAAGATGGTTTCAACCACAAAACTTTGAGCAAGTTTCAAAACCAAATAATTAGGTCCAAGTAACTCAACAGTCATTCCAGTACAAAGACCAAGCAAATTAAAAAAAAAAAAAATCTATGAACATATGCAACGTCCCCAAACCTAATGCTGTGTTTGTGGGGAGTTTTCTTAATTGCTAATTGACATGAGAGGTCCCAGCCTACTGTGGGGAGAATGCTGGCCCTGGGTGGGTGAGCCTGGGCTATGTAAGAAATATAGCTGATCAAGGAAGGGGAAGGAAGCCAGAAAACTGAGTTCTGTGCTGATGCTTCAGTTCCTGTCTCAGGGTTCCTGCTTGAGTTTCTGTCCTGGCTTCCCTCATCCATGGACTGGTACTTCAAAGTATAAGCTAAATTAAACCTCTTCCTCCCCAAATTGGTTTGGTCAGTGTTGCATCAAAGCAATAGAGATTCAGACTAGGGAACCCAGGCACACACTTAGGAGTGGTACCGCTGAATCATATTATTCTCCCGTTGCTTGCTTTTTTTGTGGAACCCCCATAATGATTTCCATAGTGTCTGCACAGGTTCACTCCTATGAACAGAGTGGGATTCATCTTTTGCCACATCTTTGCTGTGTAGCTTCAATAAAAACTGTCCCCTAGGGCTCCTGTATTTGAACCCCTGGTCCCTGGTTGGTAGCACTGTTTGGGGAGGTTATGCTGGAGGACGCACATCATTGGTAGCTGGCTTTAAGTGTCTCCTCCCACTTGTAGTTCATTTCCCCTGTCTGCTCTTGCAGTTGAGATCTCAGTTTCCTGTTTCTGCTTCTGTGCCTGCCTATTGTGAGGAATGTAACCTGCAATAATTGCTTTCTCTGGGCAGAGGCCAATGCCTTTAATCCCAGCACTCAGGAGGCAGAGGCTGGGGGATCTCTATGAGTTTGAGACCAGCCTGGTCTACAGAGAAAGTTCTAGGACAGAACCCAAAGCTATATAGAGAAACCCTGTCTCAAAGAAAAAAAAAATAAATGCTTTCATTTATAAGTTACTTTTGGTCATGGTATTGTATCACAGCAACAGAAAAATTAACTGATAATAATACTTGCTAACAGGGTTTCTCCTGAATTTGTGGGGGAGGGAGAGGGGTTGTGGTATGGAAGGAAAAAGAATTTGAGGCTGTGCTAATTAGGCACAAATTACTGAATTCAATAGAGCAAAAGAGTGCAAGTTTAGGAGAAATAATTGCAACTGAGAATTTTACTTTGGATATCCAGGTAAAGTTATTCAGAATCAAAGGAGATCCCCTTATCTGGAGCTTGGGGGAGGGGTTCTAGACTTGAGATAGAGATTTAGAAGAATCATCTCATAGCAGGTTAAACCATGACTTGGATGAGATAATCAAGGACATGTATTTATAGTGTTTCAACTTGTTTTTATTGATCTTCCAATTTTCCTTGAAAACCTATTCAAGTTGGTTGTCTTTTTTTTACTCCTATCTGGCTTGTGTCTAATATTAATAGCTCCCTTGCCTTCTCAAATATTGAATATTCTTTTATCTCACTATGCACACACACACACACACACACACACACACGCACACACACATGCACACACGCATGCACTCATGCATGCACACAAGTGCCTTAAACTATCCATGCTTTCCAAAGATTCAGGAGAGGTGCTGGATGCTCCCAGCTGACTCACTGTATTGATCTTTGTATTCTATAATCTGCTAAACTTGTCTGTCGGTTTCATTAGGGTTCTTTCTTTGTTTGATTACAACTGACTTCCTCAAAGAATAATAATGCCATCTATATGGAAAGGCAGTCTTAAATCTCCAATCTGCACATCTTTTATTTCTTCTCCTGCTGTACTGTGGTAGCCAGAATCTGCAATACAAAGCTGGATAAATGAATTTCTGGGCCTACTGAGACTTGCATTTCATTGTTTGGCTCTTTTGTGCACAGTACTAGGATGCTAGGAAAGCCCTCTGACAGAGAACAAAACTCCCAGCTCATTTCATTAAAATGATAAAGTATTGGCTGATTTTCAAGTGTAATCTGTCCTTGTAATTGTGGGATAAATGCTACTTCAATGTATTATTAACCAATAGATTTTATTTTAGTATAATTTAAAATTTATAGACTTTTAAGTAGATAGTATACACAGACCTATAAATTCATCCCACCCCACATCCCCACTTCCCCTATTGTTAAGATCTTGCTTTAGTGATACATTTGTTAAATTAATAAACAAATATTAATGTATCATCTTTAGCTAATCTACAGATTACACTGAGATCCACCCTGCTGGCCAGTTCCCTGGATTTTGACAAATATGCAATAGCTTCAGCATTACGGTTTCTTACATTGTAGCTCTAGCTTCTTCAGAATCCCCTGTAGTTGCCTATTCATTCTACAATGGCTGGTAGAGGAAGGAGATGATGACTGTCAGTTTGGGCCTTAGGTTCAGCTGCAGTAACAGGGACTATGGCTTGTCTCACTGACCTTCTTGGGTAGTCTTGAATCCTCTTCCAAGTCTTGGACACAAGAGTAGATTTCCCATAGGGCACACAGTGTCTGACATGTCTTTTCTGTCCTGTCCATTGCATTGCTCATTTCTACTCCTGGCTCCACTCACATCTGGAATAAATAGTTCTGAGCTTATGTTTACCCACGGCAACACTCATCCAGGCATTTTATTCCAGTTACAGTTTCAGGATCATCTTCAAGACCTGGGAAGCTTGTTTTCTCATACCAAAGCACATCCCAGAAGCCTAGGTGCAGCTACTGTCCCTGCAAGCTATTCTCTTCTGGTGGGTTACAGAAACTGCCTAAAGACCTCAGTTCTACCCAGTGGATGGCTGTGGGAGGGGCTCTATCAGCAGCCTGCAGCTCTTAGGGCATTCAAACCTAAGCCGGCAGCCTGCACGATACTTCTTCACACTGGTTTTCTCCCTCTCGGCGCCCTTCCTCATCTCCCAACTATACCTCCTTGGATAATTTCACAAATGGCCTACATAGACATTTCCTCAGACTCTACTTTCAGGGGACCTAAACTAAGAACATTTTTAATCAAATGTTTTTGTGTGTATCTTTCCACTTTTAGAAGCTTTTCTAGGCTGTGGTTAAGTAGTTACCTATGAAGACTTACTTGCAAGGTGATGCGAGAACATTCTGACTTTAGAGACGTAATGTTTTGTCAAGGCAGTAAAGGAGTCAGTGACAATGGTGAGTGCTCACCCTGAACCACAGTAATGGCCTCCAATACCTCCATTCCATAATAAATACAACAACACTGTGATCTTATAAAACCCATAGCTATATGGGCTACATAGCCACATATAAAAAGATACATGTGCTATTAAATACCATCAATGAACTCCATAACAGGCATGTGTAACTTTTAAACAATGACAGAGAATCTTAGTCTAGTGTCACTGTCTGCCAGAACTTTCTTCAGAAAGCTTATGAAACAAATGCGTACACTAGTCTTCAAACTAACATATTCCCTGAACTGAATGGCTAGCCACCTTCTCTTATTTTTTCATAAAGTCTACCTTTGATCAGTAAACTCAATGTTCACTGAATCCATCTTAGTGTCTGTAGCACTCACAGCAATGTAGGTCGTCCTATCTTTAATTTCACAGCATTTTATTTTGTTAACAAAGCATATTGGGGGGGTTATAAAAGCTTTATTTCATTTTATTTTTTGAACAGGATGGTTGGGGCAGGTGTGTGGCCATCCAGCTCATGATTTTGTCCCTACGAGCCAGAGTCTCGCTCTGCCACAGAATGTAAAATCCACACATCTATGCAGTGTTCATCCCAATCCAGTTCAGTCACTGAAGGAAGACTCACTGTCTGAGCTGTGTCCTATGGCTTTTTCAGCTGCACCATTAGGCACTGGAGCATCTGGGTTCCTGAAAAAAAAAAAAAAGGGGGCGGGGGGAGGTGGAGAATTTAAAGGCTGTTCCAGCTGAAGACAAGCATTTACAAACTGTAAACCAGGATCATCTTGGAGGACCGTGGCTAACGCGTCTGCTAGGTTTGTGTCCCTTGCAGGACCCTGCAGCGCTGCAACCCAGTGTGCTGCCTCTCACTCTGCCCCTGACTGGGGATGCCCCTGACTGGGGATGCAGTACTACGTCCTCCCTGGGGCCTCAGCGTTCTCTGCATCTCAGTACCATGGAGACTGCCACAGACGGAGGTGTGATGTGCACAGGTTAGCATGGCCGGGGCTGAGTCCCTGCTGCCTGCAGTGCACACCGGGGCGCGGATGGGGAAGGTAGCAATGGAAAGAAAAATGAAAGCTGTGGAAACTCAGAAGCACAAAGCGGTTCACGAATGGCTAAGGAGCACGGCGATGTGGGAACTCTGGGGAGGAGAGCATGGTCTCTGAAGAGGATTCTTAGTGTCTATGCGATGTTTTCACTCACAGGCTTTCCCCCTCCATCCGGAGAATGAAAATGCAAAGTATGAGACGGTCTAAAAACATACCATCTCAAAGACAGCACAACAGGAAATACCGATTGTTTAAACCCCATCTTTGTATGAGTGTGCTATACTAAACAAAAATGAAAACTGATAGGTTATAAAAAGTCATTTTCAGGGGTTGGACAGATGGCTCGTGTCTTACAAGCGTGAGGACCTGAGTTTGGATCCCCCCAAAACCATGCAGAAAGCCAGAAGTGGTGACACATGCTTGTGATGGCAGAGGCGGTGAAGGGGGCGGGGACGAGGGAATTCTTGCAGCTTTCTGGCCAGTTAGTCTAACGTAGTTGGTGAAGTTGAGTTACTCTCAAACAAAAGGACACACGGGCTGGGCTGCCCTCTGACCTCCAGTGGATGAGCACACAGGTGCGGGTGTGCACCTACACCCATAGGTGAGCCACACCCAGAGGCACCACCCCACACACCCATAGGTGAGCCACACCCAGAAGCACCACCCCACACACCCATATTCCCCCAAGACAGAGAGTTGTTCTCAATGGGCTTCAGTAGCATTTGTGCTAGGAAATCCTACTCAAGGCTGATAGGCTATTTCTTAGCGTCTACTCACTTTTACCAGAAAGCAAATTCAACAAGGAAAGTAGATGGCTGGAGAAACCAAGAGAGAAAAGGAAGAATAATGCGATACTGTGTGTTCTTAATTAAAATGATCAGATTTATTTCTGGCTCGGGTCTTTTTGGTGACTGCCCAGGTAGCCTGCTGTTTCTGTCCTCGCTGCACCTTTAGGAAGCTGCCCGCCTGCACCTCCTGCCTGCCCTGGTATTGTTATCTTCTCAGGCCTTTGATGAGGTTGACGATCAGACTGTCACAAGTATTGTTCTCTCTTCCTAGATAGAAATATTAGGTACAAGACTTAACCCTTCCAGCTTAGGACAGCTCGATAGTGATCTCTGCCGTGCCTTTACCCTAGGACTGGACAGGAGCTCTCCCCATGTTGCTCTTGTTACCTCACTGGCAAAAGGCGTTAAGTGTGTGTTCTTACGTTTCCTTTTCCTAGAGACCACTTGACATTTGCTGTCTTTGTGTATAGTTTTGTATCAAGCCTAGATCTTTTCTTTAGACTACAAGGGGAGTTGTAGTGAGATGACCCACCCAGCCGCACCTGTGGCGCTGAGCCAGTCCTGTGAATCTTGTACCGTTCAGTTCACCAGGTATCTACTTCAGAGGGAGGGAGACAGATAGATAATAGACAGACAGACAGACAGACAGATCTACTTTTGTTCTTCCACACGTGGAGGCCACTTTCCCATCAGCATGTACTAAAGAGGATGCTTTTTTTCTCTAATGTATATTTTGTCATCTTTGTTACAAAGCAGGCGGCTGTCGCTAGGTGGGTTCCATTGGTCCCCGTCACTATCACGGCTCTCAGTACAAACTGCATCAGGTATGGTGATGCCTCCAGCTTCACTCTTCACTGCAGGCTGTTTTCCCTACCCAGGATCTTTTGTATTCCAAATGAATTTCAAGACGGTTTCTACTTCTTTGAGGAATGATATTGGAACTTTGACTGGGAGAATCACATTGAACCTGCAGATTGCAGTGGTAGGGTCAACCATAACCATTTTCAAAACAGTAATTTTCCCAATCATGTCCACTTTGTACGTCAGTCACATGATACAGCCTGGTCAATTATAGCAAGGTGTTTTCCTGGGGACTCAAGCATGTGCAGTCAGAATGGTCAGAATGTTATTTTAGAAATCAGCTTTGGGTTACAGAGCAGAAGAAGCTTTTTTTTTTTTTTTTTTTTTTTTTTTTAATTCTCTGGCAAAAACTAAAAGCTCCCCATGGCTTGCTCAGCCTGCTTTCTTATAGAACCAGGACCATCAGCTCAGGAATGGGCCCCACCCACAATGGGTGGGGCCCTCTCCTATTGATCACTAATTGAGAAAATGCCCTATCACCAGGTCTTACGGAGCGGAGGTATTTTCTCAATTGTGTAAAGTTGGCATCAAACCAGCCAGGGCAGAGAGGATTAGGAGACCAGCCTCCCAATTAGTTTATTCAGCTCCAGATACAATTCCCAACACAGGGTAAAAGTAACGTCTGTTCTTTGCTACAAAACTGAAAATAGAGATTTGAAGTTTGAAAAAAATTGTATAATTTTAAAAGGTCATATTCTATGAGTATGAAATATGTCATGATGGTATACATGCAACTCAGGATTATAAATAAGCTGTGACCCCAAAGCTTGGTAAATCCATGGTTCAGAATATTCACAAATCGTAGTGAACAGTCATCAAACACTCATTGCTTGTCCAGAGCTCTACTGAGCACCTATATTATTACTGAGGAGCTGAACAATTCTATTTTCCATTTATAGATTATCCATGGTTCCAGGGATAGAACGTGGCAGGACAGACTTCCAGTCTCTAGTGTAATGTTGCCTGAGCCTCCCTTAATCACCAGGAACTTGCTCCTGAGATGCCCTGGACCACAGGACTATCTGTTATCCTAGAGGTACATATGTAGTCATTACTAGGTAATAGTGATATTACTTGAGACATGGTGGGGTGAAACGTCTTTTTCCTGGTTAAAAAAAAAAAAAATCTAGGTATCGATTGAGGGAATCTTAAAAGCATGATCTACTCATTCTGTACTTTTGGATACAACATTAGAGCAGATTAATCTCTAAACAAAGGTTAATGAACAAAGGTTCAAATTGCTCCATAAACTAAGTAAAACAGTGACATCCCCATGTCTTTTTATGGTAATAGCACTAAAACTAATTTTGAGAAGCTGGTGATTAAAAAAAAAATAATTAAAACAATTAGAAGTTTCAAACAAGTGTGATTACTTATTCAGTAATTATCATACATTTTCATCAGTTTTATAGACACCACAAATTCAAGAACTGGCATAGTTTTCCAGTAAAACTGCCAGGCTTTATCATGTAAACTTTTACTTTTAAAACAGTGTGCTTTTGATGTTCAGCTTTTGATTTCAACAGCCAGTCTGACAACATGCTTAGTGACCGGTGTTTATTTTTCCCTTGACTTCAGTTCTGTTCTCTGTCCAGACCAGACAGATCTAGACTAGCTCTTCCAACAGTTATATGAGTTTGTCTTACTACCTGGAGCTAATAAAAACAGAAAGTGTCTGTTTATACTTTTAAAGAAAAGAGACTCAGAACACTCTTTACTCAAAGTCCTTGGACGAGGTTTATTTTGTACCTAAGATTCTTAATAAAACTAAATTCCCTTGGATGGTACATTTCCTTCGTGAACGTCATGTCAAACTTCTCTCCCCAAGTGAAGGTCTCTGACTTGTGTAACCCCAATTCCACAGCACAAGAATCCCCTGTGAACAAGGTGGCCGATACACTTACCGTGAGCTAAATGGTTGGAGTGGTGATTGCTTAAGTTTGCCAATCTACTCTAAGCAGTGCCCCTGGTGGCTAGTGGCATAAACTTATGAGGGAATGGGTCAGAAGTCAGCCTGTAGGCTGTGGTCAAGGAGCAGCTTTTCTGTAAGGCCATGGTGCTACTGGAATTCTAACCTACAACTTGGCATCTACCTCACAACTGAACGTTTCTCAACATTTACAGACAATGACATACACACACATTTGCTAAGGGTGATATAAGAGCACACCGTGTGTGTGTGTGTGTGTGTGTGTCTTCCCCACTACTTACAGATCGCTTAAGGTGATAATACCTAATACCCCTATAGAATAAGGAGTTAGCTAGGCCAATAAGATGGGGGGAGGGATTCTAAGAGAGTTAAGACAGCATATAAATATGCCAAAAGGGAATAGAAAGATGATCTATCCAGAGAAATGCAGGTCGTTTGCAATGGCCACACAAAATGAACCAGCAAGAGCCTGAAAAATGAAAGCATGCAGTGTACATGCAATGGTTAGACACTGTATGTTGAAGGCAAGAGTGAAGTTATGAACAAACTTTATTGGGATGACTGGAAGAACACAGAAACAAATCAGGCGCTACTGTAACAATTCAGGTGAGAGATGAAGAGAGCCAGATGAACAGCAATAGGTATGTAGGCACGTGGTAAAATGTAAGTGATGTTAAAAATGAGAAAAGTCATGGCGACTGGCATAGTGAAGGAGGGAAGAGGGAAGAGGCCAAGATGACCTTCAGGTTGCTAGTGTGAATAGTGTGAATGGTCTTCAGGTTGCTAGTGTGAATAGTGTGAATGGTCTTCTGGTTGCTAGTGTGAATAGTGTGAATGGTCTTCTGGTTGCTAGTGTGAATAGTGTGAATGGTCTTCAGGTTGCTAGTGTGAATAGTGTGAATGGTCTTCAGGTTGCTAGTGTGATAGTGTGTGGTCTTCAGGTTGCTAGTGTGATAGTGTGAATGGTCTTCTGGTTGCTAGTGTGAATAGTGTGAATGGGGGTGTGCTTAGGTGCTAGTGTGTGGGATGTGTGGTTTCGGTTGCGTGTGAATAGTGTGAATGGTCTTCAGGTTGCTAGTGTGAATAGTGTGAATGGTCTTCAGGTTGCTAGTGTGAATAGTGTGAATGAAAGAAACCACAAATTAAGCTTCATTTAGGAAAGAGATGAATGAAATATCAGTGTCCGAAGGCTAGATATACAACTTGTGGGATGCTTACAGGACACTGGCTTTCCTCTCTCTTTCCAGAGTGAAATATCATCATTTTAAAGGTCATTTTTGATCTTTGTTATTATTTATGGCCTATTGTATATTTCTAGAAGCAGAAAGAATACCAATTGATGGAAAATGTTACTTATGATAATACAAATCAAGTACTAAAAAAGATGAGATCCAAATGTTCAATTCTTATTAAAATACATGACACAATCCATCTACTTTTAAAATGTCAGAAACAATTTCCAGAACACATATTGAACATTCCAGATATGCTTTGTTCAATTCACCAAGCCGTGCTATTGTAGCCAATCCTTTTGCCACTTGGAAACATACCAAACGAACATACATGTTGGAAAAATCCATTGCTGGCAGCTTTTAAGGCATTCTTGAATTACACAGTTTTGAAGATAAAATATGAGAAGATGACTTTTACAGTATTTCATTTCCAAAATGCACACCTTTTCCTGAAGTGCTGGAGCCAAGAAAAATTCCAAAGCATACCGCTAGCACAGTTTGAAAGCCTGGGTAACACAGGGGTGAACAAAAGCTCTAACTAGACAGGCTCTTTACAAGTATCTGGAGACTTGTAAAGCAGAAGGCTTGTGAGGAACCCATTAATATATATAATTTGTTAAGATAAACCACATGGTCAGGCTGGCTTGGATGGAATGAATTCTTATCAAAGGTTTGAGCTATGAGTTTTTAGCATTCTAAAAAAATTTTATAATATACATTCAAACTGGCATCTGTTTCATAATAACCATTAATGTGCACCTAGGGTACTATTTATTTCAAGTTATTTCTCAACCTTGCTTAATCTATGTCATCGTGAAATACATTTTTTATGTATTATGACCTTAAGTAAAAAAGAGGTGTATAAAATGTTGTCACACCACCCCTAAAGAAAAAGTCAGCATGGGGAAAAACCCCAAACCCTAGATGCCCATCCACCAAATTCTGATGAGTTCCATTACTTAATTTCATCTGCTGAAGTGTGCAGGGGCTGGTTATTAGTAGCCTAGGACCTTTCCTTTCCTTTCTTCTTCTTCTTCTTTTTAAGATAGCAGAGGCACAATTTATGATAATGGCATTCTCAACTATAAAACACTGTTTAGGAAACAGTAGAGAGAGCCTGAACTTTTTTTTGTTGTTGTTGTTACAATTGAAAGACTTAGTACCCTGTCACTATGATTTTATTAGAAATATTACTTACTCAAGGAGGTCTGGATCCAGCCCTTCTGATATCATTTTGTTTCTGATCGCCATCACTGGAACACCCTAAGCAAAAGTCAAGAGACAATAATTCGGTTATAAGGAAGCCTTCTTCCTTCATTATTTACTTGAGTAACCTAAAAGAATACACTGGGGTAACTCATTTCCTAAAGTAGGTCTCCCCTTGCTTCTACTGTGTATGTGCAAAGCATCTGAATGACCTCAGGGCATAGTCCACACCAACCTGATGGAATCAGCACCATCTAATCCACATAAGCCCAAACCAAGTCATTTGCTTATTGCCACTTCTGCTGTGCAGGGTGGGGAGATTGTATTCTCAGCCACGGAAAGAAAGCATCGACAGCTCAGATGGCTAAACTGAAAGAATGAATTGTTAACTATGCTTTTCAAATAAAAACAAAGGTTCGAGAGCTTCTCAAAACATACCATATACCAATGTAAATGTTCATGCAATAAGCAAACATCCTGATTTCACTTAGACATCTTAGGAATGTGGAATTCAAGCAACATAAGATTTATCTTCTCAACACCACTACAAACACGACGCTAAGACAATAGAGGTGGTAAATCGAGAAACACGAGGATATATGAACATCTGCATTCGGGTTAAGAATATTAAAGTAGTAAGAAAAGGATACATCAGAAGTGAATAGAAACGTATCTGAAAAAAAGAACTCATTTAATGAGTAAACAAACTCCATAACTTCATGTCACTGAATGTGGATGTCTCAAAACTTAGCAGTAAAGGGGTTCTCAAAGTAGTAAATTAGTTTAAACTAAAACGCATGAGGAATCTGAGGGGCTCTGTCAGTGCTCTCCCGTGCTGCTGCATGTGGCCTTGGCTCCTGACATACAGCATGGATGCCCTGTGTATACCATTAAGCTACATGGCATTAGGCATGCTATCTGAAACACAGCAAGCACCACAGCTAACAGGACAGCTCTTGACAGTTGTTGGCTTCGAGGGAGAGTCAGTTTCCTTCAGGGAAGTGGCCCTAGTAGAATGCCATGCTCCACCATGCTCCAACGGCTGGCCCTACACCCATGCACCTTACTGGTAGCACTAATGGCATCCTGTGTTTAAAAAAAAACACCACAAAGGCCATGAGTGGGAGCTGGGAGTGTGGGGGTGGTGACGGATCTATTTAACTATTCCTAGTAACAATGAAGAAATCTAGAACATCTCATTTTCCAAAAGCACTGATGCTCGAGGGATAAGAAGGAAGGGGCAGAGCTCACGCCATTGCTCCTAAAGGCAACAACAGAAAGATCCAAACAGTACTTAGCTCCTCTTAAGTATGATCTGATGTCAGAAGGTCTTTCTGCAAGCACAACCGTGATTTATTTATCATATGTTAGCATAAGCCACAGGACATCACTGGAAAGGTTACAAAAATAAATTACAAAACCCAGAGAACAGAAGGGAAGAAAAATGAGGGTTTAAAAAAAAAAAAAAAAAAAGCCAAACAAAACAGGACAAAAAGCAAAAACCACCAGCATCTCCTAAAATATAGCACAAAACGTGTATATGGGGCAAAGGGCGGGATGCACAAGTGAGGACCAGGGATGCTGGTGGACTCAGACAAAGTCCTCATTTTAACAGATTCACGGAACTGATTAGACCGAAAGAATAATAGACATCGGAGCCCGAAGCTCTCTGTATCTTAACCTGACTTTTCTGGAACCAGTTATAGGAGAACACAGAAATACCCAAAGTTCAGTGCCTTTTGTCACTTCCGTATATGGATATAGATAAAGGAAAATACACCTATTTTTCAGCCATTTACCCCGCAGAGGCTTCTAGCCACACCTTGATGTAAATCTCATAAAGCTTGATTAAAAAAAATGAAACCACAAACTGGGCCCGTGTTCCCAGTGTGCAGCATGCCATCGAAAGGACCTGCCGTTGTGTGTGCAGTGACGTTGCTCGGCAATCTGCTGTTTGCTACATCGTTGGTAGGACGTCAAGTAACAAGAGTCTGGTTTGTTAACCATCAAAAAGAAGTGTCCAATTTCTAATCATGAAGAGACAAAGCTACTGGTGGTCCAAGGAGGACGCAGGAGACCTCGAAATGAAGTCTATGGAACTGTGGGGTTTTCTTTGGCAAGTGGTAAGGGCAGCCTGTCCAACAGAAGTAATGAGGAGAGGAGGCAGCCATGGGTCTGCATTTGCGTCACTGGAGAAAGTGTGTAAAGAAGCCACGCTAATGAAATTAGGATGGCAGTACTGATGGCTAAATGCTAGTTTCTTATATCACAAAAACTGCTTGGAGTTCTCCAGGCCTGCCAATATTTACACAATAATCTGTTGTGTTAACGAGAACCGCGCTATTAAATCTCTCTACAAACCATGCTGAAATTCTCCTAAAGTTTTAGATTTGAAGGGGAAAAGAGAAAAGTACTCTGCTTCTTGAAAAAAGTAACAAAACCAAATCCGTATATTTTAGGTTTTCCCCTATCATTCTATAAATTTGAATCCAATAATTTAGATGTAAGAAGTAGAAAATACGAAGTTCCTTCCTTACATAGAGCAAACATAAGGCAAGTCCACTGAGCTGACAGGAAGCAGAATTTGTTTTGCTGGTAACATCTGGAGCTGGAGTACTCCAGTCTCAGGCAGAAAGTCCCAAGACCGGGGCTAGTCTGAGTTACACAGCAAGAGCCCATCTCAAAACCGTTCTTCATTTGCAAAGGGACAGGTGTGTAGAAACTGTAGGATGCTATGGGCTGGAAAAGGAGCCACTACACTTTGATAAGTTTCTGTGACGCTTGGAGATGGACTCAACCATATCTTTGCCTTCTGAGGTTTCAAAAGTGCTATTTTATTCATGCATTTGTGTTTGTACAGTTGTTTATTTTGAGACAATATTTCATGTAGCCTAGGCTTGCCTTCAAATACATTATGTAGCTTGGGGCTAGTCTTGAATTCCTGATTCTTCTGCCTTTGCCTCCAAAATTATGGTATTACAGACATGCATCTCCATGGTCAAGAATGTCACTTTTAAAAAGTTATTTATTTTTATTTTATATGCATTGGTATTTGCCATAGGTGTTGGGTCCCCTGGAACTAGAGTTACAGACAGTTGTGAGCTGCCATATAGGTGCTGGGAATTGAACCTGGGTCCTCTGGAAGAGCAGTTGGTGCTCTTAATCACTGAGCCATCTCCCCAGCCCAAGAATGCCATTTAAAAAACACACTGTATTTTATAAAGTGCTATGGTCTTATGATAAGGATAAAGTTTTTAGATAAAATATTATATATGTATATATATATATATGTATATATATACATATTCAGAGAAAAAATATATATATTCAGAGAAAAATACATATACAAATTTGTTTGCTGACCAAATCATAAAACAAAACACGTGCTCAATGATTTATTTTTTCTCCTGGAAGCTTCTAGTAATGGAATATGAAATTAATTTAAATAAATATCTTTAAGACTTTAACATAAATCTAAGGAAGGAAGCTTTATAAGACTTTATAAGACAAGTTACAAGGACTTGCACAGATCTAGAAAATGCTATCTTTTCATATTAACATGGAGACTGTTCCTGTTGTTTCTGTCTTGAACCTAAATGTGTTTACAGGTCACAAATCTTGCCCAATACCAAACTGTCATTTCTTTGAAAAGGAGAAGGGTTATTCTACAAGCTGAGTGTCTTGGTCAGAAGTGCCTTCTCACTGACTATTTATCAGCCATCTTTAAAGATGCAGGACAGCTCACAGGAGAAAGCAGGTAAATGCACACCAGCCGTTCTCAGGGCCCAGAAAGCTGGTAAGGAAATCACTGTGTCTTTATTATAGAATCATTAGAATTTGCTAATCAAATTACAAGTCTATGAATTCAGATGTTAAAAACATGCACATATTATTCAATTAAATGTAAAGCCAATTCTCTAAACACAGCAATAAAAGAGAAGATTCTCGTGATTTAATACACAGAACATTTACTTCTGAGCTGATATTCCAGTAAGGGTAAGGCATTTCGGCAGCCACATTATGATTCTCTCAATTTTTGGCCTTAGCAATCCATACACACACAAAGAAGGTGGTCAGGGTTAGGCACCCACTTAGGCTACAGTAAAGAACCTTGAATTTGGTAAGGACAGGACATCAGCCTTAATCTAAGCCACTAATTAAAAGTCCTCTGTGAACCTAGGCCAGGAAATGGAAGACCCTGGAGACTTTTTAGGAATGGTGTTAGGTCTGGACCTGGTGACAGGCACCCTCCCATCCTGAGGGTCCCTGCTTCCTATCACAGCTCACATGGTCATCTGGCCTTTATTGTTTGTCTCACAAATTAGCCAAAATGCTAGGTAAACAAACTAACAGGAAAGGCGCTAACGATGTATTTTCAGAAAGGAATAAACACAAGGCAGTAACTGCATATACTCCAGTCCCTTATTTCTGGCAGAGGTGGGAAGTAAGGAAGAGAGAATGGCATGGATGAGTGACAGCCGGGGACTAAACATACAGGTGGGTTGGAGTGAAGGGAGGACCCTGCTTACAGCAAACACAACCGTCCTCCCAGTTAGTGCCTACGTCTGAGCCACCGCAGGAGCGCCAGGGAAGATGCTGCGCCTTCCCTACAACCCCGGGAATGCCATGATGCCAACGGTGCTTGCTTCTCCGTCTTTCCATGATGGGAGAGGCCGGTGTGGGCAGGAGCAGTTTACTACACTGAAGCCAACTTTAATGGCACTAAGCAATGGATGAAACGGATGTCTGACTTGCAGAGGTATTTCACGTAATGCATCTTATGTAGTATCTAATTATTTAAATTATAATGCCATTAATACAAATATCTGATGGCTTCATGAATAAATACATTCTTACCATACTTACTTTTATGTGGGTCATAGGGATTGAACTCAAGTAGTTAGGTTTGGAGGTAAGTGTCTTAACCTGCTGAACTATCCTGTTGGTTCTCAACTACATTTTGAATATTATTTTACATTTTTTATTTTATTTTCCACTTACTCCTTTTAAATTACTTAAAAATTTAATTTTATTTGTGTGTGTGTGTGTGGTGTATG